GTATATGTATGTTTTATGAATATGTATATACATGTATATGTATGTGTGTATATGTTTACGTTCATATATGTATATATATAAATATATATTAATATATATTACTATATATATATATATATATATATTATATATATATATATATATATATATGTATATGTATATGTATATGCCTATGTTTATGTATATACATGTATATGTATGTGTATATGTATATGTGTATATGGATATGTATAGGTATAGGTATATGTATAGGTGTATGTATATGTATATGTATATGTATTTGTATATGTATGTGTACATGTATATGTATATGTTTATGTATGTATATGCATGTATATATATGTATATACATACGAGTATATGTATATATGTATATACGTACATATGTATGTATGTATGTATATATATATGCACAGCCCCCTGAATAATCAACACCTGATCTTTTTTTTCTCAGGGGGCTATGATATTTGTATATGTTTATATCCCTAAAACCCTAGAATCGCAAGGGAAAGCGTCAGACATAAAACGGGTCGAAGGCGAGGGCGTCAAGTTTAGTGGTCGCAGGTGAGAGCGACAGGTTAAGCGGTCGCAGGCGCGAGCCTCAGACTTGGTGGTCGCAGGCGAGAATCGCAGTCTTAACAAATCTCATAATTTGTAACTAATATATTATGGTTTTTAGTTTTAGCTATTATGTCCGGACCCATATCTTAGTGTGGGTATAAGCTATCAGAAATGAGAAAACTGAAAGTGTTGTGAAAAGTCATCTTCAGTTCATGACTGGCAATTATATTGAATTTGGAGTACACGAGGTGACCTGATATTTATTCATGAACCGGATTTCTCCGTGTTAATTTTTCCAAATATTCCCAGGAGAGACTATGTTTAGAAGGACCGAATTCAAGACTCAAACCTGTTCTCATCTTGGGACTAGAACCCAATTTAAGTATTTCTCCCCAGTAGTCCCGCTTTTCTCTCACATTGTTAGCGTGCAGGGCTGCTAGATCATGAATATCATTCGCATTCTAGTGGCGTACGGATTCCGTAAAGTGCGATATCAATTGCTACAAAACAGGGGTAGTAGGCGAGGTATAAGTTCACCGCAATTTCTACGCCCATGGATTATTTAGCAATGCATATCACATTCCAATTAAGTCGTCACTGATCGATTGTGGACGTCTTCAACATAATTTGTTTAGTCTGGTGACGCATACACGAGTATCGATCTAGTCATTTGAGCGTGACTACTCACCCACATAATTGATATTTCGTACAAATTTACTTATTTTTTAACAAGTGGCACGTAGGTCTTCCGGACAGTCGGGTTGATTTGCTGGTCGCGATCTTTCGAACTCGTCTAGTATCGATAGAGCGTCATTGACTTTAGTTATTGTGGGGAACGCAGACATATCGACATCAAACCTGTAAGGAGTCAAACGCATCACCATACAAGAAATCCTTCAGAATCTGTTTTTTTCTCTCATGCGAAATAGACTACAGCATATTTCAGTCAGCATACACTTCCCAAAGCAAATACTATTTTACAATACAAGCAGATATTTTTCAAAACACTATAACCTAATAGATGAAGAGAACCATTCATCAAAGTAGTTCCACAACCATAACTCCGCAAGCTCACAAATCATGGACTTGAAAGAAATTCCATTGTGCAAATAAACCAAACAAACCACAAGCAAAAACTGATCCCTGCAACTGGATCATGTGGCGTCCAGTGATTGTAGACAATGACCAGCCACTGTATTGTTAATAGGAATATAAGTTCTAATTGAAATCATTGACTCAGCAAGCAGCTAACTGGACAACGCATACACGAGTATTTGCTAAGCTACGATAGGGATATATAGCGAATGACCGTACTATCCGAGAGATGTCCTATAAAAAGAGTATCCAATCCCAGCATACCTTTTGGCGTTATATACTTGTGCAGGCAGGAACATATCCGCCATAGTGACGCTATCGCCCACACAGTACTTGCCGGCTGTCAGCGATAGCTTTTTCTCCAGCGCTGAAAAAAGTTGTTCATATTGAGATCATAAATACGACCACAAATTGAAAGCAAACTCGCCAATATGGGTTTTGCATCTGTCAGTAATGACTGTGGGGGTTCTGTCCAGAAACGAACAAATTAGATTTCGTGAAAGCATCGAAACATAGGATGGCACGGGCCACTAGTTCAACCACAATTGTACGTAGGGTTCGAATACACTTGCATATGCGTTGCATTGGCACCCAGAAGAATAGCCACATGACATCCAGAAGGTTGGTCATGACACCACCAGGAGGATAGCTACATGACACCCAGAAGGATAGTCATATGATGTACAGAAGTTTAGTCATGACACCCCCAGGAGGATAGTTACATGACACCCAGAAGGATAGTCATATGACACCAAGAAGGATAGTCATATGACACCCCAGAAGGATATTCATATGATAGCACAATCGGTATCCAGGCCGACAAAGTATGTCAAACAAACATAAACACAAGTGAGCTATTGTTCTCAATCCAGCACACCCGCCCACCGACACACCCACGCGGAAAGACCACACCACTAATGCGTCTACAAGAAGCGATCAATAAGCACATATAATGATATGATACACGCAGAGCGCCACAGACTGGCCTAATACTCTATCTTGAATGCCAGAGGCAAGTACACGAGGTGAATGTTCCGATTTGCATACCTTCAAACCCTTTTGAAATCCAGTGTTTACCATGGTCCATTTTCCTCTCAGCTCCCACGTACTTCAAAACTCGGAGGTTTTGTACTGGCTGGATGTCGCAGCCGATCATGCAGGCAATCTCACGAATCTGTGCATGTGAGTATACGTGCTTTGGTCAACGCAGAGTTTTGGATAGGGTAGCTATGGCTGTGGATTGGTTACTGAAACTGTATGTTGCAGTATATATATACCTGGAAAGAAAGTTTATCTATGATATTAACCCCCACAAAACGCGGTACACGTCCAGCCGCACCTTCATACAGGTTATATAGATTTCTTGTCCCAAAATGGTATTTTGTGGTATGGACGAGAAAAAAATACTCACTAAGCAGAGTATGTATGTGTGAGGCTAATAACGTTGCACCGTGTGTCAATTGGGCATGTGTTGTGTATACTGGCAGAGTCAAGATGCTTTATCTACAACCACACCTGTATGCAATATGCGAATGGTGTACGGTGACGTGCGCAACACAGACTATCTGTAGATAACACACGGGTGAAACAAGTACGTACGGGGAATTGTACCAAAACAGGACTATGCTAAGCTCATCATCTGGGAATACGATCACAACAATATTACTGCCTTCAAGCGGTCAGATATTAAATACTCAAGTTGGCTATATTGACCCCGAAATGATGCCTCCCTTACAATATATCAGATGAGCCATGGACGAGATGTTCGTGACAACAATAGCAACTTATATGGAAGCCACAGGTAATTCTCTCATTACAAGAATTCTGCAAATCATCTGCTGGTGCACAAACATGAACTTGTACAAAAACGGCATATATGTGAATATATATATATGTGTGTGTCTGAATCAACATACCAGTGCACGTTTGGCGGGATCGTTCGCAGGGAGTAGCGGTCGCTCGGGGAACACCTCTTCCAAATACTCGATAATTGCGATCGACTGACCAATCGACACATCGCCATGTTTCAAGGTGGGCACGAGTGGCGCTGAAGCAGTGCTGTTGTACTCATCTCCTAGCTGTGAGCGAGAAATACATGAGATTTGCTGCCAGACATACATATACATATATATAGACCTTGTTATGCGATGTGTTCACATTGCTGTGATCAATAATGCCTGCTGGTATCTGTGTGTCGACACATAACAGCGTCGCACACGTGATGGTTTACGACAGTAATCAGTACAAGCAAGCAGTTTCAGTCGGAAGTGTAGTTCTCTGCACTTCACACGATATAACTACACACAGTTCCATTTGCAAAATGTGAACTACGTATACCAAAGGTACTATAATACGTTGCCACGCAGAGCATCGTGCGTATCGAACAGACCATACCTGTTCTCCTTTAAGCAGATTCACTGCCTCGTACTCATAGTTCAAATTCTTCCACGCCAGTGCACTGCGCACACGCCACGAGCATGAGCTCCTGAAGTACGAGTACAGCACTAGGTCAGCCTACGGGAGAGAGAAATCAAACGTATTAGAACACAGGTGTATGGTGAGAGATCGCGTCAGGCACGACAGCAGCTCGCTCTGATAACATGAGATGAATTATAGTAGCATCCATATGATGCGATCAATAGTTCTTGATACGCATCTCACAGAGCACACCTACATTTCGCAATGGTCAAGAGTACAGAAGAAAGCTTAAATTATCACTAAACATCAGATAAAAGTATAAATATCACCACCACTCTCCAAGGCGGGCACCCAAATATGCTGCAGTATAGGAATATTTCGTACTAAATAGAGATATTCAGATAGGGATCCGATATGTACAGGTACACAGTGAGGATCGCATGCGGTTAGAACGTAAACATATAGCCAGAGATACCAGTAGACTTAGCAAACTCACTCTACATATACAATTCATGTCAGGCGTGATATTGTAAGAAGTTCCATATATGGCTGAGTATATGTTGGATAGTACTACCTTGAAGAACTTAGGTTATGGTTATGTGTTGTGATTAGGAATATCAAGCCGCTTGTGTGGTGATATCCCCGCGGTCTACTCTGTTCATGGCGATGAGTTGACCCTTTCCCAACTACACCATATGTTTACTACCATGAAGGAATAAGTGCGATGCGCAGGGTGTGGACTATTGTCAACCTTACGAAATCCAAGGTGTATACTCTTTAAACGGTATCGAGAAATAGTAAGATGAGTGTTGTTCCTGAATGCCGTGTACTGAGTGCTCTCAACCACAACAAACCCCAAATACCCATCCGTCTGATACTGTACCGCCCAAAGGTATGACAGGCATGCAAAGATGATATAGATATGTATTGAGGGTTGTCATAACTTCGATACAGATGCTCTATAGCCGAAACAACTCATTGGGTATAACTCGAAACGTGCTACACGCAAAATACAAACATCAATCCCCATGGCGTAGGATGCTAAAGATTTGCAGTTCGTCACCCTTTTCCCCTTTCTTTACTACTGTGGATGCTTGCACTTACCGTTGTCATAATGCTAGTCAAAGAATAGATGCGTTCGGTGTTTCAAACGTTTGTATCGCGAATATCAGTATTGAATTTGTTGGAAAGGGCATTCGTCGTATATATATAAATAAATACATGCTGGGATAGTCGGTGAGCTTGCATAGTTACAGCTGGCATCCGAGGGACCGAGGAGATGGTAAAAATGCAATACATATGTAAAGATTTAAAAAGATACGTACGTACAAACTTTGAAAATAAAGATACGTTTACGATCAACGTTTATATCGTATTCGCCCTATAGTTGAGATACGGGTGCATAGAGTCTCTGAGGTTCAAATATTCCGGACATTTTTCACAAGATGCCCCTTTAGTTTCCTAATTAGGGTAGTTGCCCTCAAGTCTGTCTACCCGAAAAACGTCTCAAAGTTTAAAGATCGAGTAGATGTGCGTTTACTTTAAACTGTCAACGCGTACCCCTTTATTTCTGATTGCGAACAAGAAGTATTGCAGAGATTGCAAAAGCCGACTTGAGGAAATCAATACGTTTTCATTGGTCTAGTAACGTTTCGGCTCGTTTTTTTTCTGCATTTATTTTTTTTCGACGAAAACACGTAGTATTACTGTAAATATGCTGTACTTAAAAAAAACCTCGAGTGTAAATGTATTTGAATTGCATCTATTTACACAGGAAGACGAGGACGAACGTATTTACTACGTGCTGTTCTAAACTAATCCACTTGCTGCATTTGAGGAAGTTGTATTTAGCATAGTACTCTTGAGGTTATGGAATAACTCTGTATTAAACCTCTATGCTGAAAATCCAAATAACCGGGTGGAAAGCGAAATTATTATACCTTAGGTGCCTATAGGTGCAAAGATTTTTAACGTACACAGCTCTATGACTTTGCTCTCCACATATGCGCACGGCTTATAATGACAAGTGCATCTTCACCATCATATCACACAATTCTTCTCTTGTTATCGTTACAAACTTAATATCTGAAGTCCATGTGTGGGTGACCATCTCTCTGATTGTCGCCTGCATCGCGTTAGTACTATATTACAATAAATAGTCCAAGTATGCTGGCACATCTGTCAAGGCCCCGTTGGCGTATTGGTAAAATAAACTGTAGTGTATTCAAAAATTTGAGCTCACACGCTACATCAAGGCTTCAGGGAGCCTGGTATTTTCTCCAAATACTTTCATCAAGTCTTTGTGTGCCATCTCACCGCGGGTGTCTGACATGTTAGACGTCTTGTGCTCGAGCGAATGTACAAACTCCAGGCCCATAAGGCACGTGCGCCAGCTGTTCAAGAGCTGTTTGGCTACGTTATCTGGCGATACAATTTCGCCACTAGCATCTTTGAGTACGGTTTTCGTATGAGCACATCTGTCTAGTTCACTGGTAATTGTCGTGTTGAATAGCTCAGCTAGCTTACCCAAAGCCAACATCGCTGCAGTGATTTTACGCAGTCTGTTGTCCTCCACGGTCAATCCATTAACTCCACTAGTGGATAACGATCGCATGCCTCGGAGCTCCTTGCCAATACTTATATTATAACACTCGGCACGCTCCTTTAAATCGTCCACTTTAGCCCACAAAGCAGCACAGGTCACACCCTTTGGCGGTGGCCGCGAAGGCGCTGAGTCCTGTGCAACTGTACTGAATACGTTGCTTGCAGACACACGTGTCTTAGGCGCGTTTGTCGGTCTTCCCGGCATGGTGCCAGCGGCAAACTTGGGGTTATTTACTACCGAATTCTTCATGGTGCTTGCCGTGGGTGCTGGGGTGAGAGAGTTGCCACGCTTGCGGGCTGGCGGCGGTGGTTTCTGTGTTGGCTTCTTTGGCGGACGCGCGGGCGCACTGTCTGTGCTATGATGCTCGCCTGTTGCGCTCGTATTGGCAGAAGATATAGCGTTTGTGCGTTCAGATTCAGACTCCGCTTCAACTGCCGCGTCGATGCCTTCAGAAGCAGAATTACTGGATACGACTGGGACTGATCCTGGTCGATCTGGACGAGCTTGTGGGCGTGGTTTGGGTTTGGGTTTGTCACCGTTTGACAACTTGCTGTGTGAACTGTTCAGGTTACCTGATTTGGTGCTCAATATTGTATCCCTACTTTCGTTCATAGCTTTAACCGACTCACTTGATTTATTCATCTGCGCTTTCTGTCTAGGCGCAGGCGCAAAAGAAATACATGTTCCCACATCAGTTTCGCTGTCAAACGTGTTTGCTAATCTCAGTTGAGCTGTTCTCGACTGAGGCATTGGGGGTCTAGGATGCTCTTTTATCTCGCCATTCAATTTTTTCGTCATGTTACGACGCAGCGTGCCAAATCGTTTCATTACACTGTCGAGCGCCATATTGACGAGATCTCTCTGCTATAATTCACTCTACGGTCAGTCAGCTTAAAGGGTTCGAAGTAGAGAACCTCTTGTGCTTAATAATTTACTTAACGTGTTTCAAACGTCAAAGCGCGAACTGAAATCAGATCGATGTGCATCTGACCTATATTTAGATAGAATAGGTGCTTGGTCAAGCACCTTAGACATCAGGCGGTATCATGACTGATAGTGATGTTTCACTGGCACAGGATATTCCACTAGCCAGATAGACAATTAGTCATATACTCATAGCCAGGATGTACCGTGTAGTATGTGATCTTGTTTTCATGATTTTAGTGTTGGACCATGCAACAAGATTACGATGACTGGAAACGGAATACAATCGACCAGTCAAATCGAAAGTCAATTTTAAATGCACACGTCTGGCAGAAAGCTCCATAAAGAGTGGGTACTCCGAGTCATACTGCCGGGCAAGGGGGGAGGTAGACTGTAGGAGTGTAGGCTGTGCCCGCTGTAGTGTAGACTGTAGACTGTAGAGAGTCACACTCTTGCTCGAGTCGTTATCGTTTAGATCAGCAGCCAATCAGCATCTATGAAACTGGAAGGCTTCAGAAGTTGTCTGTGGCAATTTAAATCAAATAACGGATGTTCTCTATACATATTTACGTAAAACAAGTGTGTATGACTCTCCATATGTACTGTACTTACTAGTAGGTTTGCATACTATGAATCTGCGGTGATACAAGATGGAATCAGCTACGGTGGCTACTCTCAAGTGTGAGCAGGGCAATGGTGAACAATGCCGAGGAAACGAAAGAGTCAACGATGAGAGGTTGCAAGTTGTACCGCCGAGAACAGATGAGAATATAGCACAGAAAAAAAACAGTAAGATTGTTCCGACTTCAAACACGTGTGCCATGATAAGCTTTGATATATAAAAGACACACATATATACAGACTCTCTCTCTCTCTCTCACACACCCAGAAACACACACACAAAAACACACACACGCACACGCACACACACACACT